TATCAGCAATCTTTCTACTTAAGTCTTGCACAGCACCTACGCTAACAGAGTCTGTAGGCCACTGCTCCCCACCTGAGCTAAACTGTCCACACTCCTGAAAGATGAATCTCAAAGCTGCTGACTAATAACACCACTTCAGTCTTTGGCCATCTTATCCCTTTGGTAATCCCCCAGGTGGGTTATATGGAGAAGTTTACATAATTTTTATATTTTTGTCTTCCTCTTAAGAAAAATCTCACTATTGTGGAGAATCAACAAGAGTATTTGTTTCATCAAAGACATCATATGGTAGACAGGCTTCAAAACCCTAATGAGAAATTTTATCAGGACCAGGATGCTAATGATCATGATGACAAGCGCTGACAAAATAAAGAGTGCAGACTTTTAGTCAGATTTGCTTACCTACATACGAGTTTCCCTTCATACTGGAAAAGGCACTCTTCTATTTTCTGCTTTCTATCTTTCAGAATAAGTAAACTTCTTGTGTGACTGCACAAAAGGAAAGAAGTTAATTTTTCTGTAACTGCCTTCAGAGCAGTCAGAACAGAAAAATATCAAACTAGTGGGAAATCTTTCCAGCAACAAGGAACTTGTTATCACAGTAAGCAAAATCCAAGTGAGATTAAGTCTCTTAATACCTGCAAATATCAAAAAAGTTCTGCTGGTACTTTGATCAAACTAGTTTCTTGATAACAGATGTAAAAATTTGATAGGAAGTTATCCTCCTGGAAGTGTTTATCTCTGTATTAGTCTTTGTTCTCTTATTCAGGAAGAAAAATTCTTGAAATTATGACTCAATGAATGGATTTTAATGATGTTTTAAGACAACAAGAGCTGACTCATGAGTAGAATAGGATCAGACAAGAGAAGAGGAGGCTTGACTGACCTGGCTGTCAATTCTGTAAGAATGGAAGTGCATAATGAACATTTCCAGCAATACTACTCAAGCACCCATACTAAACTGTCAGAACTTGAAAGTTTGTTAGGACTGGTTCCTCCCTTCTTCATTGCTTGGGTTTGACCAGGTAGGTTTGCCCTCACTCCTCTCTCCTGTGATTTGGAGAGGCATGGAAGTTGCATACACATAGAATTACTTTCTTCAGCCTATTCATCTCTTTGCACAAGCATGTATACACAGAAACCACTGGAGTTTCAGGTGCTAGAACTTTATTTACATTAAGATGAGACAGTCTGATTCTGTTCAGGTAACACAGAAATTGAAATAATTCTTGTTAGTGAAACAGACGGTGCCTCTTTGGTCTTGAACTTATGTTCACAAAGAAGTTCCCATCTATATATGCCCCAAATTCTTCTTGAAATAGAATTTTAATACCTTTAAGTTTCTTAAGACTTTCTGCCTATCATGTAAAGTAATTTTTATCATAAAAGTCTATCCTAGGTTTAGGTGGTAGGGTTTTGGTAGTAAGGAAGGGGATGCAAAGATAGTCCCTGTAAGGAGATGCGAGAAGCTTCCTTGGCTCCAAAACTGGTTAGACCTCTTCTCCCATGCCCTCTGGCCGGGACTGAGCCAGTTAGCGCCGCTGCAAATGCCCTATTTAAGAAAGCGGAAAAGGAACCCAAACCAGGCGGGACCTACACTGAAGAGGGGGGAGGCAGGGTGCCGGTCTCCCCCCTCAACTTCCCGGGCAGGCCACACTGGGCCACTGCCACTCAAGTGAAGATGGTCGCAGCAGCACGGCTTGGAGAGCTCTGGAGCGCTCAGCTCCCGGAGCGCCTGCTGGGCGGAGTTCATCCTGCCGGGACTGCCAGGGTTCATCGGGCCCAGAGCAGCTGCAGTGGAGAGAGGAGTGAGATCTGAGAGAAACAGCCATGCAGACACCACAGTCAGTGAAGATGGAGTGGGAGGAGATGTGATGGAGCTGAGATTCCCCTGCAGCCTGTGGTGAGACGGCAGTGGCCCCCCTGCAGCCTGTGGAGATAAATGGTGGAGAGATCCACCCGCAGCCATGGAGGACCCGACACTGTAGCAGAGATGGCGGTGCCCAAAGGAGCTCGTAGAGGACTGTCTCCATGGGAAGGACTCCCCACGCTGCTAGAGACTGACAGTGGAGCAGAGATGCATCTGCATTCCGTGAGAAGGGACTCCATGCAGGAGCAGGTGGCTACACCCTAAGAAGCTGTGATGCTGTGGATAGAAGCCGGCAAAAGAGCAATCTGATGGGTCAGGATTGCATCCTGTGAGGAGGACTCATGTCAGAGAAGTTTGTGGAGGACTGTCTGCCATGAGGAGGAGCCTGACTCTGGAGCAGGAGAAGAGTGTGAAGAGTCCTCCCCCCTAAGGAGGAAAAAGTGGCAGAAACAGCACGTGATGAACTGACCTGCAACCCGTTCCCCTCCAT